ATCAGATAAATACGTACATGTGTTCTTTGACCATGAAGCCTTGACTGAAACGTGCACTGACGTAAGCGGCATTTCTGCTTTTTCTTGTTACTGCCACCAAACTTGGGCTTGTCCATGCAGAAGTCGCATTTGCCACAGTCGTCTTCACGAAGACACGCAACACACTGCCGGCACATCCTGCGATTGCGTTTCTTCGCAACCTGAAATCAAGAGTAGACAGAGAAATTGTGCTCTTCCGTTAATAAAGGGCAGATTTTTTGAGATGTAATAAAAACAGAACTAAAGCGGTTTTATGAGCTCAGCAATAACCAGGAAAAGAATATTCCATGTCCAATTCGTAATATGTTCAAAACATGTAAAGCCTGACATATGAAATAATAGTTTGACAATGAAATGAAACAGTTTATTGACACTTTATAGACAAAATGTTGACAGTCTGCATATGTATTTTTGTTGATTACCATGACACATCAGGCTTTTATAGCTTATATATTGTTATGAAGGGGAATATAGAGCTCAGAGAGCAGAAATATGCAATTTGGTGCAGTTGCTGATATTTATATGGCCAAACAGTAAGATGAAATTATGCTTGGAATGTAAATATAACAGTATAGCAGACTACTTATAGAAAACGCATACAAATATTAGCTGTTGCTCTATATCTCCCAATAATATGTCATAGTAAGATGACATTAAAATGCTTACTGTACAATTATGGCAAAAGCTCTGTAGTTTTTATTGTGGAAAGCAAAACATATAATGCAATGAAATACAATGATGAACAAATAAACATTCCTCAAAATCCTTATGTGTAATATTTGATACTCACAATTTAACATCTAAAAAATTGTGCATGTACCTAAGTTGCTTCAGTCCAGTAAGTGTTCATCTTGAAATATTACTAACAATCTGAAGTTATTCTTACATCTAGTTTATAAAAATCTGTGAAGAACACATGAAGGTGGATCATGTCTATCAATCAGAAGTCAGAAGGCACGTAGAAGATTGTCTACAACAGGTTTTCCAGCAATGTTTTGATCATGGTGATAATTTAGAGGTATCAAATATGATGCAGAAGGCTTTATATGGTTAAAAACATCCCATGCCACAATCATTAGCAGACTCAAAAAAACAAATAAATACAAAATAAAAATAAAACACCAAAAAAGATTAATGTCTGTTGGGTTGAGAATGTGCTGCTGAATCACTCACCGAGTCATCATCATCATCATCATCATCATCACCATCAGGGACAAAATCCTAAATAACACACACAATAAAAACCTGGATGAGTATTTTAAGCTTAGTACTTTTCCCGAATATATTGCGATTTCTGCACTAGAAGCAGCACATAATGAATCAGCCAGACTCATGAATGAGTAACCATACACTGAACCCATTTACATTGTAAAGGCTTGAAGTATGCAATATATGTGAAAAAAAAAAAAAAAGATTTAGCTCCATAAAGCATGTACACTCACCATTTTTAACATTTTCTTGTATTTGGGATGTTGTTTCTGCAGGAGACAGAGTGACGTTATGTTTAGGTGTGAAGTAGTTCAGCTATATGAATTTTTTGATGATCTTTGGCAATGCTTTTGTGTACGCTGCAGTTTCACGTTTCAACCCAAAAATGCAACGAATGTGTCTATATGACGTTATGTGATTATTAAAGTATGCAATATATGTGAAAAAAAAAAAAAAGATTTAGCTCCATAAAGCATGTACACTCACCATTTTTAACATTTTCTTGTATTTGGGATGTTGTTTCTGCAGGAGACAGAGTGACGTTATGTTTAGGTGTGAAGTAGTTCAGCTATATGAATTTTTTGATGATCTTTGGCAATGCTTTTGTGTACGCTGCAGTTTCACGTTTCAACCCAAAAATGCAACGAATGTGTCTATATGACGTTATGTGATTATTATTACCAGCATTTGTTTTCTTGGATGTTTTGTTTTCCCAACCTCCCACTGATCCTGCCCCACCTTGAAAATAATAATAATAAAAAACATACAAAAGCATAATAAAAATGAAGCAAAGGAAATATGATAACTAAGGTGTTATATTCAACAGAATCGGAAATAAAGGGAAAGTAAGTTACTAGAAAAGAGAATAAAAGAATGCTAGCAGAGAAATCAAGGATAATCTGGACTTTGTTCAGCAACTTATGGAGAACAAACAACAGTTTTGGCTCATATATTGGGAGCAGAAAAAAAGGGAAATTAGGTTGTGTTAGTTCAGATGTTAAAACGCAAAAGTATCGCCAAAGCCTTATACCTCTCATAGAGCTGACATGAACACAGACGCAGCAACACTGCCTCACTTCCACTTCACAATATCAACAACAACACAGCACAGATGAGGAAGAAAGGCCATGCATGGACTTTCTGGCAAGTACAATTTAATAAAAAAAAGCTTTTTTAACCTTCCATGTGCAGTCTTGCATTAAAAAAAACATATACGTATATAGCACTGAGACATGGGAAAAATCATGTCTCAAAATATGACCTGCCTCTAGTTTAGAAAACAATGACATTTCCAATTTGAAATGAATCAGAGATGATTACTAGAATATTCTAAAAAAAAAAAAATGCACTAATTTTATATTTTTTTTTTATTTATATTTTTTTCTGTTATCAACTATATTCCTCACTACTCTTCATTCCAGAACACAACTCAATACTTTATATAGAAAATATATAAAAATTATACAAATATCCTAAATACATAAAATGTTTTATTTTTATTAAACTATAAAATATTTAAATATTATTACATAACTTAATATAATATAACTAATAATAATAATATTACTAATATATAATATAAAATATATTAAACTTAAATTAAATATAAACTACAGTAAACTCAAAAACAACTTTTGGATATTTAAAGAAACATTACTACTATGTCCTGGCACTAGGTAGCAAAAAGAACAAGAAAAAGGAAAAAAATAAAAATAAAGCTGCTGCATTGAATACATGTGTGATACAAAAAAAAAAAAGATTTTGTTAACACTGTCATCTGCCAACACAAGGTGTCAGATGTTGTGTTTCTCCAACAGCTGGACTGAGAATCAGTTTGAAACGGTCCTATATTTTCAATGGATTCATTTATCAAAGTTGAGTGTCAATATATATGATACATTTTGGACATGACAGAACACATTGTTTTATCTGCCGGTGAGATTCAGAGATGGAAAAACACATTTAAAATAGAAGCAGCAGGACCACAACGTACATAAATAACTTAATCTAATCCAAAACCATTTCTGCCACATAAACGTTTTGTTTTATCCCAGTATCAAGAATGGTACATACCTTCCTAAACACAATATTTGGAGGAGAGTGCTTCTTGTCTGCTGCAGAAATGAGAAATAAAGAAATTAGACAATACAAATCACACAAATATCATACTTATCCTCTGCTGCTGGCTGAAATGAAGGGTGTAATTACAAATTCACATACATTTAGGCCTACATCTGTAGCACATTATGTCTCCGATCTTCTGAGCAGGAAATTGGCAGCCACAGCTTTCACATTCACTGAAGAAAGACAAACAACTCAGATTTTATGATGGTAAATTTAAGGACTTTTTAAGACTAAGTAAAAAAAATTTAAAGAATAACTTGAAGGGAGCACAATACGTCAATAAGTTCTCTAAATGTAAATATCTAGGGAGCACAAAATGAGTTGTATTAGCAACACTTCAGAGTTTGAAAACGCTACTTTAAACATATTCATTACCATACCATTACCAAACACCAGTTAAGTAATCAGATTGCTTTTTTCAAGTAACAAGTAACGCAAGAAACTATCTGAGTTACATTGTTTTCCCATTTATTCACTGAAACCTCTCCTGTCCTGTGTTGAGATAAATTGGTAGTGAGGTGAAGACCAGAGGCACGAGGTTCTTCAGCCTGAGGCTTATTCATTTCACTTCTGGTGTGAAAGGGCTTTTACAGTTGCAAAATATAGAACTTTTGGGGTTTTTGTTATTAAAAATAAATAAGCAAGCCCTGCCCAGGAATGCAAAAGTAACGTAATGCATTATTTTCCATAAAAAGTAACTAAGTAATGCAATTAGTTACTTTTTTTATGGAGTAACGCAATATTGTAATGCATTACTTTTAAAAGTAACTTTCCCCAACACTGTTCATTACTTAATAATTACACAAACAATTGCTTATTAACCACTAGAATATGGAATTTTTAGTGTACCATCTGATCAAACTGCAAAAAACAAAAAAAACAGATTTTCTTTTGTCTTGTTTTCCAGTGTAAATGTCTGAAGTTTTCTGTGAAACTGATCAAAATGAAGTGAGTTTGAGATTAAAACAAGAACAAATACCTGCCAATGTGCTCAGAAAAACTCAACTTAATTCAAGGGGAAAGCAAGTTTTGTTAATTTTGTTTCTCAGAAAACAAGAATTAATTTTCTTCATTTTGCATCCCTAGTAAATGTATCTTGATTTAAGGATGTTTAGATATTAATTTTTTGCAATGCATGCTTTGCAGACTTTCTGATTTAATTTGTGGAAGGGCGATTAAAGCGACTTTTTAAAGGGGTCCTATTATGCTTTTTCACTTTTTGAATTTTAGCCAGTGATATTGTGTACGTTTGGGCATAAAAAAGATCTACAAAGTTACAAATCTCAAAGTCCACTCCAAAGGGAGATATTTTGTTTTTAAAAATCCCTTTTCAAGAACTACAACAAACGGCTCGTTTGAACTGGATGCAATGTTAAAACATTTGTGAACGTCCTAGTTAAAAGTAGAGCATACAAAATAGACTTTCTAGGTGGTATGAAATGAGTCAGATTTGTTCACCTGAGCAGAGAAAGACTTTCCTTTAGGGTCACTGTTCCATTAAGCGTAGTCTCCGGAAAATTTGGTGAATTTACAATCTGATCTGAGAACGTATCCTGAGTTTTTGTAGGGCTAATGGGCTCCAGAGAAGGACAAAGCCAGAGTCGAAGGGGCGGTTCAGTGCCATCTTTCCCAGGTTCAGTTGAGGAAACAATCTGTTGGGAAACATTACCCACTTTTACAGCTGGAGAGTGAACGAAATTCCGTGTCACCGATGTGTCGATACTGAGCGGCGAGACCCTTGTGAGGCGCGGAGGGCTGTGAAATTCGGCGTTGGGGGTCTTGGAGAGGCTGCTGCCCCCTGCAGGTGAGACGGGGATGAGTCGGGGTCTTTGAGATGTTGATGTCGAGTTGTGAATGATGCTCTGGGGTTTTCTGGGTAAAACCTCAGGCGTGCGGCGGGGTGGATCTGGGACAGGAATGGCAGTTCCTGATGTGGGACTTGAACGCGTTCTTTCCCGTAGAGAACGAACAGTCTACATATCCCAAACAACCACATAGGAAAGAAGAAAGTGTTTCAAAAATATTGTAATAATATCATATATGATTAAATTAAAAGATTGAAGAAGATAAAATTAATTTACTCCTAAAATTCTGGAAATTTTATTCCTGGTTATTTAGAAAAGTAGCAATCTTAGCAAGCACAACTAATTAAAGCGTTTAAACAAAAATGTTGATTTTATATTAAATAATAAAAATCACAAAAACATCCTATAAATATACAAACATATAAAAAATACATTAAAAGTAATAACTGAGATTTAATAACAACTCAGCAGCAAATCAGCAAATCAAAGCATATTAGAATGAATTCTGAAGGATCAAGACTGGAGTAAAAAAAATTCAGCTTTGCATCACAGGAAATAATTACATTTTAAATTATATTGCAACAAACGAGTTATTTTAAACTGAAATAATATTTCACAATATTACTGTTTTTACTGTATTTTTGATCAAATAAATGCATCCATAGTGCATACAAATTATTCACTCTACAGTGCAAATAAACTCTAAATCAAGACAGATTGCTACACAAACCTTAGTTTTAGGGAGATCTGCATGCAATCCTTTCTTGAAATCTAAACGAGTAAGTCCATGTCTAACATTTCTGGCAATCGGAGGCCGACCTCTGCGTCGCTTTACTTTTGGACTGTGAGAATATGAAAAGTACGAAAGTCAGTTTATCAACTGAACATGATCAACAGGTGTGATATAATTATCAAATGTGATTTATTTTCAAATGGATTTAAATATATATATTTTAAAAAGGGTCCAAAAGTGTGAGACTTTTTAAAGGGGTCCTATTATGCTTTTTCACTTTTTGAATTTTAGCCAGTGATATTGTGTACGTTTGGGCATAAAAAAGATCTACAAAGTTACAAATCTCAAAGTCCACTCCAAAGGGAGATATTTTGTTTTTAAAAATCCCTTTTCAAGAACTACAACAAACGGCTCGTTTGAACTGGATGCAATGTTAAAACATTTGTGAACGTCCTAGTTAAAAGTAGAGCATACAAAATAGACTTTCTAGGTGGTATGAAATGAGTCAGATTTGTTCACCTGAGCAGAGAAAGACTTTCCTTTAGGGTCACTGTTCCATTAAGCGTAGTCTCCGGAAAATTTGGTGAATTTACAATCTGATCTGAGAACGTATCCTGAGTTTTTGTAGGGCTAATGGGCTCCAGAGAAGGACAAAGCCAGAGTCGAAGGGGCGGTTCAGTGCCATCTTTCCCAGGTTCAGTTGAGGAAACAATCTGTTGGGAAACATTACCCACTTTTACAGCTGGAGAGTGAACGAAATTCCGTGTCACCGATGTGTCGATACTGAGCGGCGAGACCCTTGTGAGGCGCGGAGGGCTGTGAAATTCGGCGTTGGGGGTCTTGGAGAGGCTGCTGCCCCCTGCAGGTGAGACGGGGATGAGTCGGGGTCTTTGAGATGTTGATGTCGAGTTGTGAATGATGCTCTGGGGTTTTCTGGGTAAAACCTCAGGCGTGCGGCGGGGTGGATCTGGGACAGGAATGGCAGTTCCTGATGTGGGACTTGAACGCGTTCTTTCCCGTAGAGAACGAACAGTCTACATATCCCAAACAACCACATAGGAAAGAAGAAAGTGTTTCAAAAATATTGTAATAATATCATATATGATTAAATTAAAAGATTGAAGAAGATAAAATTAATTTACTCCTAAAATTCTGGAAATTTTATTCCTGGTTATTTAGAAAAGTAGCAATCTTAGCAAGCACAACTAATTAAAGCGTTTAAACAAAAATGTTGATTTTATATTAAATAATAAAAATCACAAAAACATCCTATAAATATACAAACATATAAAAAATACATTAAAAGTAATAACTGAGATTTAATAACAACTCAGCAGCAAATCAGCAAATCAAAGCATATTAGAATGAATTCTGAAGGATCAAGACTGGAGTAAAAAAAATTCAGCTTTGCATCACAGGAAATAATTACATTTTAAATTATATTGCAACAAACGAGTTATTTTAAACTGAAATAATATTTCACAATATTACTGTTTTTACTGTATTTTTGATCAAATAAATGCATCCATAGTGCATACAAATTATTCACTCTACAGTGCAAATAAACTCTAAATCAAGACAGATTGCTACACAAACCTTAGTTTTAGGGAGATCTGCATGCAATCCTTTCTTGAAATCTAAACGAGTAAGTCCATGTCTAACATTTCTGGCAATCGGAGGCCGACCTCTGCGTCGCTTTACTTTTGGACTGTGAGAATATGAAAAGTACGAAAGTCAGTTTATCAACTGAACATGATCAACAGGTGTGATATAATTATCAAATGTGATTTATTTTCAAATGGATTTAAATATATATATTTTAAAAAGGGTCCAAAAGTGTGAGACCACTAGTGAAAATGCTTATATTGAGCATTTTTTAATTTAATAAAACATTTAATTGCAAATATTCAGCACAACAGTTTGAGTGAAAAGTCAACTAAAAAATGTAAATACAAAGTTCTGTCATGAAACTCTAGATGGCGCAGGCCGATAGGTTCTAACTCGATCTGACATAATGACATCACTATTCACGTGACGTAGCTGATTGTTTTTTTTTGTGCAAGCAGCCAATGAGCTTGCTGCTCAAACATTCAAATACTCTGCTAGTGCTCGCTGTAGCAGTGGCAACATGCTTCAGAAACCCTTCACCTTCCCCAGCTCCACCTGTATAGATCTGATACGGGGTGCTTTATGTATGTTTTATATGGGGTCGTCTCATACAGTGCCGTGAAAAGGTTTTTGCCCCCTTCCTGTTTTTTTTATTTTTTGCATATTTGTCACACTTAAAAGATTCAGATCATCAAACCAATTTGAATATTATGCAAAGATAATGCAAGTAAATACAAAATGCAGTTTTTAAATGATAATTTCATTTATTAAGGGAAAAAAGCTGTCCAACCAAGCCCGGCCCTACGTGAAAAATTATTTGCCCCTCCTCTTAAATCATGAAAGAACTGTGATTAACCACATTATTTTAGAAAGCAGGGTGGCACAACCAGCAATTACTTTTTCACGTAGTGCCAGGCAGGTTTGGACAGCTTTTTTCCCTTAATAAATTAAATCATAATTTCAAAACTGCAGTTTGTATTTACTCAGGTTATCTTTGTGTAATATTAAAATAAGTTTGATGATCTGAAAGTGTGACAAATATGCAAACAATTAAAAAAACAGGAAGGGGGCAAAAACTTTTTCACACCACTGTATATGTTATATGTGCAGCAGCAGTATTTCTTACATGCTCACAGCAGCATGTCATGGATGTACTGGCAGTAGCAAGTCTCGGTACTTTCTCTGCAACAGCAGCAGCAGCAGTGTAGCAGATCTATTCTGTCAAGACCAAACACGTTGACACTGCCATGTATATTACCATGCTAAACTCTCCCGAGAGTTGTCATGGCAGAAATGCATTTCTGAATCTCTTCATATTTGGACTGTCTTCTTTTTGGATTAACGAAAGCAGTGCTGAAGATGACATGAACAAAACTTCATAATCATATTCTACAGCACGATTTGAGGAGCTTCAAATGGAAGCAAGAAAATCTTACCTGTACAAATCTTTACAAAAGAAAATTTAGTAATTATTATTTATATATTGAATCATTTAAATATGTTTTAAATATTATATTTTACTAAATAATGCATTTTATTTTTAACTTATAAATAATAAACATGAAAGCAACAATATTTTATTGCCACATCATATTTGATGCTAAATTTAATGTCTAAACTCTCACGATGTTTAGGGCTGGGTGATAAAATAACGATAATTATCACAATATATTTTCCCTCGATAGAATGATAACACATGCTCAATATAATGTTCTGATCGCCCCCAGGTGGCTGGACCCAGTATATGCCATAAACCCCACCCTCTCCATGTAAATCTAATGGGACTTGAGACCAACTAAATAATCAAATTACACTTCAAATAATTTTTTCCAAAGATGGTTTCCGTCATTTTAGGTAGTTCTTATCACGCTGATGTATATTCAAGTGTTCGTTTTTCTAATAAGTTTGCTTTTAGTTAGTTATTTGATGCTATAAAAATGGGGTGTGGTGTCATGATTGTGAGCTTGCGATTGGGTCGGCAGGAGTTTGGCCGAGACTTTGATACCGTGGCTCCACCTCACGATCAATACAGCACAGACTCTGGCTCCAAATGAAAAAATCATTTTCGCAAGATGACAGCGCCAATACTGAGATGTTTTGGCTTCACGTTTCTATAGTGGAAGGAAGTGGAGACGCGTCGTCCATCTTTTTTTTTTTTACAGTATTTGGACTCAATAAGTGGCAGCGTTGCTCAAAACCATAGGTTATGTCAGTGGGGGGGGGTCTATAGCATTTTTTTTTAAATTTATACTAAATGTATTTAGGCTAATGTTTTTCATACAAATATCATAAAAACCATATACGCAGTTACATTTTACCATGGTAATGAGGTGCTATGTGTGTTTTTACCTTTGTTTATCATGATCTAATTGTATGATACTGTAGAGGACCAATGGTTAATTTTGATAAAAGTAGAGCTCTAACTCAAACAGTTAGAATATTTACATTTTTACAATATTTTACCTCTAAATTTTACCCTATAGGTTGTTACAATTTTTACAGATGTTACTGTTTTTGTTAATGAACACAAATTTACATCTGCTTCGTGCCATCGAAGTCAGGGGACATAAACCTGTTTCATGATTTGAAACAATATCACCCGCTAGAACATGCAGAAACCAAGAAATTAATTTCTCTATTAAGATATTTTGTTAATGAAAACAGACTGATTTACTTACTCATGCATATATCGATGTAGAAAATAAATATTATTATAAATGTTTTGAATGTTGTACCTCATATTTGTGAAATGTTCACCTATTTGAAAAGTGTTTGTCATGTTCTGACAAAAAAAAAAAAGTAATTTAAAACCACAATTAAATCAGGTCTGGTTTCTACATATTTCACTCAGGAGAAGAAATCTGCCTTTAAACTTGTAAATAAATAAAAATTTAACATGTATCATGATAATTATTGATATCGACTGATATTTTGGCCATATCGCCCAGCCCTATATACAATACAGTTGCATTGTTGTACTGTGACATATTGTGACATGATATATTGTTGCACCTCTAACACAAACTATAAAACATCACACTAAATGTAAACAAAAATGAGGTATAAGCACATACACGTCATCATTGGTCTTCATAATGATCCGTTCACTGCTCTTGACACCCTCACCACCATCATACTCAGGAGAAGAAATCTGCCTTTAAACTTGTAAATAAATACAAATTTAACATGTATCATGATAATTATTGATATAAAAATTTTATCGTGATAATTTTTTGGCCATATCGCCCAGCCCTATATACAATACAGTTGCATTGTTGTACTGTGACATATTGTGACATGATATATTGTTGCACCTCTAACACAAACTATAAAACATCACACTAAATGTAAACAAAAATGAGGTATAAGCACATACACGTCATCATTGGTCTTCATAATGATCCGTTCACTGCTCTTGACACCCTCACCACCATCATCTTCATCCTCCTCCATTGGCTTCAGCCAATCAGGTGCCGATTCGGGCGTCACCTTTCCAGGCATGTTGTTCCCCAATGCATTATCCACACCGTCAGTAACGTCGTCTGCTTCAATCGGCACAGTCTCTTCCGGTTTCGTCGTCTCCGGTTCAGCTGAGGCCCTGTTCAGCTCATCCGTCATATCTGATCCCGTTCTCTGGCCTTGAGGCCTCTGTATTACTAGTAGATTTGCGAGACCAATGGTTTTAAGCCATGCAAGGAAGAGTTCGGATGTTGAACCGCCAGCTCACATTTTTAAATAGGAAAAATACCTTTGTAGTCCATAGAAATTGGAAGTATAAATTTCATCTCAAAAAGTTATGAAGAGCTTGGGTTGCATGAAATGTCAAAAATCCAATGTTTCATCCATGATTTACTGGTTATGAATCATACCTGTAAAGAAAAAGCAGATGTGAAGAACAAAAATAATTACTTATTTTTAAAATTAATTAATTATTATAGATGCAATAAAACTATTATTATAGTTTTTCTGCCAACATGGTCATTTTTGCTGCTTAATGGATTTCTAAAGACATACTGAATTTCTAAAGACATACTTTGTATTGAGATGAATTCCAAACCAATCACACACACATACAGCTTAACATTGTCACTGATGATTTAAGAAACTGCCAAAGAGAAATATGATTTTTTTTACGTAATTGTATCACGATCTGCATACCAATAAAACATTTAAGCAATAGTTTCTAAGAAAGTCTTTCCCAATGCAACGTAACCGATGTAAATAAAACCCTTCTATTAAATTAGGCCACTGCAAAGACTCAAGCTAGCAGAAACACGATAGACTAGCATGAAGGAGAATATTTATAGAACGGGGCTGAAACGAGCAGTTGCCATGGTGACAGAATTGCAGCGAGTCCAGCAGCGACGGCAGGGAAGTCGATACAAATGGGCTGAGATCATTCGATATCTGCAATGCAGCGCAATTACTATGGCAAAGAAATGCGCTACAGTGCAGCAAGCAGCCAGCGTTTGTTAAAGTTTAATGGAAAACACTTCATTTCCCGAAACCCTAATTATAAAACCAACCAGACCAACTGTTTAAAGGGGTCATATATGATGCGATTTCAAGTTTTCCTTTCTCTTTGGAGTGTTACAAGCTGTTCGTGAATAGATAAGATCCCTAAAGTTGTAAAGACTAAAGTCTCAAACCCAAAGAGATATTCTTTAAAAAAGAAACTACTTTGTTTGGCCTTCCAAAAGTGGACAACTAGAAATCAGTGGTTAAGTTGTATTTACAACACTGTTCCAGAACAGTTCAAACCAAATATTCAGATGTGTGCAGCGCATTTTATGGAGGACGAGGACTGTTTCCTGGGAGAGTAGCCTACATTGCCGGTGATGTTTACACGGCGCGATGCAACGCAACGCGTAAAAGGACGTTTCATTATAATGGGTTTTATTGGTTTCGTCTCGTCGCGCCGGGACATGGCATCACAATATGGTAAGGGGAGTAACATTTCTGTCACACGATTGAGGAATTCGGCCAATCACAACGCACTAGATAGCTGGCCAATCAGAGCACACCTCGCTTTTCAGACCGATGAGCTTTGTAAAAATCGATGCGTTTCAGAAAGGCGGGGCATAGAGGAGAAACAATAATGTACAGTATGTGGAAAATAATGTGTTTTTTTAACCTTAAACCGCATAAACACATTGCATTACACCAAATACACAAAATAATGTTCTTTTCTAGCAACGTCATATGACCCCTTTAATACAACTGCCGTTTATGAAAACTACTGAAAGGCTGACCAAGGTAATAAGCACTTTCACAATTATAAGAACAATACAAACCTGACAAAATAGATGTAATCAACATGTCAGTATTAATCTAATCTCGCTGTGGGTTTTACTTTAAATCAGGGTCACAGGGTGATTTGTTTAGTTAAAAATATGGATTGAGTAAGACGATTTCTTGATAAGTCAGTAAGTAACTCAACGAATCGATTCAGTGACATTAAAATCTCAAATGCTGAACTAGCCATTTGAACTAGTGAGCTCTCATATAGCCAAAAAAGTAACAAATACAGCAGCTCATTATCAACACAACTTTATCTTTTCTAGTAACTACTAATAAGAAAATGTACCAAACTAATTTTTAGTCAATTAGTCGAAAAGTTCCTCATCTTTATATGTACGATAATTTTCTAAAACTGTGGAACAAATAAAAAATTATTTTTTAAAGTTTCAATATGTTTCATCAGTAATTATCAAACTCCATTCAATGTAGTCACAAAATGCAATATTTGTAATGAGATGTTAATGTCTGCAAACACTTGCAAACAGCACATTTCTCTATAGACATTGTTGCAAAATATAGTTTGACTTAGCTGCTATAAAAATACAGAACTGTGTACACGAATAAATCACAATGAACTGAAAAGCAAATTCATTTAGTTATTAATCGATCTATAAAATTGTCTCAGTTACACTCAAGAGAACATGCTTAAAAACATAAATGTTAAAAAGAATGATAAAAACAAAAATACTTTAAACAACATTAACTGTTTTCCTTTTGATGTGACGCAATAGAAAGAAAAACGTTCGTTTGCATTTTGATTACACGACCATCAGATCAGTGTTTATGATCATTAAGGTTGGGATTGTTGTGTTGTTGCTCTGGCAGTGTTTATGAAAAACTGCAGTGCGAGATAAAATAGTTCTTCATGGTCAATTTTTCAAATACACATTTTAGTATGTCCCAAGAACTGAACATATTCTGCACTGTGCATTATACTTATTTAGATGCCTTGTGGAATATGCTAAAAGTGGACAATGCTGTATTATTATTATTATTATTATTATATGTTAGTAATGCAATTTTATTGACATCGGTGAAGCTTTTATTGATGTTATATTTTTTTAATTACGTGACACACTAATAGAAATTGATTTGTTTGTTCTCGTGGTCATTATTCGTACCGATAGATCGCGCAAAAAGCGCGTAAACAATTCGCTGAAACGGAATTAAATAGCGCGGTGCAACTTTTTAGCGCAAATTAACTTAACTAACTTAAAACTAAAGTTATAGTTTGTGCAATTTCCTATAATTTCTACCTCTAAAAATGACCTGTGAGCAAAATAAACAGATCGTAATAAATCGACACGAGTTTCGCCAGCCTCCATTACAGATCGCTAGAGTGAGGAATGCTGTCCCGACGTGCGATCAAAAACACGTCCGATTTAACGACATTACTATCAAACATCACGCGTTTTGTACGCGCATTTAATTGACAATGTCCCTTATTAATTGTGGCAGATTTTAAAGACACGATAAGTTTATTTTGCACGACTCTAAAACGTCCATTTCGTTGTGCTGAATGAGCTCAAGCAGCCCCCCCTTCACTGTTGACCCTCCCCTTCCACGCTCCCCATTGCTTTCAGCGATGCAGCCTCGCAAACGACTTTCCGAACGCTTTCTCCTGCACAGAACCACGCCGATCTTTCGACTCTTTTACTACAGCGATATATCGAAGTTCTGACGTTGTGTGCGTTTTATAAGAACGCGTTTTTGCCGTTGCACGAAAACAGCGCATCGAAGACTTGCAGCATTTTGACATTCTTACCTCATCGCGTCTCGCGCAGTCGATCGGCTCGTTCATCTGCGCCTCGTTCTCTCCGTCTCCGATCAGCGATACTTTCGGCGAACTACTGCGCATGTGCTGACTCAAGCATCGTAGGAATCCTGGCTGAGGTGTCGAATAATTAAATTTAGCGGTAGATCAGTCGGTCGGTCAGCGTTCAGAGTCCTTGCAATAATACTCGCCTTTAGTGTAAAACAATAATAAAGCTAGATCATCAGTAACTGTAGTTATTCGGAGTTTGTCTGTTGGTCTTTTTGATAAGCGTGTACGAATATAAATAATATCGCCGACTCGCGCATCGCTACAGCAAATTCTAACATTATTTTCAACGAGACGCACCATCGTTCTTCATCTTAGATTAATAACACCAGATTTAAAATTTTGAATACAAAGAAATTTAGAATCTATATCCGAAAGGGACTTTATTTATTTATTTGAATTACGTTTAACTTCTCAAATTTAAACGCCAAAAATGATCAGGGTCAAATAAATATGTCTTTGCCAATATTATAACTGATAATAATTTGGCTGAGATGTAATATTAAACATTTCGCGGTTCTAGAGAAAGAGGCACTTTAACATTTACTCTCTAATAGGGTTTTTCCGACTTATCTGTTGGTAATCGCCATTCTAATTCTTAATCATTTATGAAAAGTGAAATGCATTAACGTTACCTCAGAATCGCGCCATTCCAGTCATAGGTCGTTGATGATGCTGATCAGTGATCAGAGCAAAAGGCGTGACATTTTGACATTTTACATGGAACACAATTAGAATGAGCCAGTTTTGAATCAATCATGCAATAATAAGAATAAATGTACCGGTTAAATGTATATGAATCTAAACTTTGGTCAAACTTTTCATTGTAATAAGTCTCAAACGTGTTAAAATAATTTGGCCACATCTGGACTATAGAAAACCTATCAGCCCAACAAACCCTTCATAATGATACTTTTGTGTAGTGGCACAAGAAATGCAATCTAAAGACAAATAACAGACATTTCACCAGCAAGAAAAATATTTTAATCTTCCTCCACTTTACTTTTTTAATGCACAATACATGGTTATGAGATTCTTAAAAAATCTAAAAAATGTAAGCCCAACAGTTCAATGTTGTCACAGCACCATTCAAAAGAGTAAAGCCAAGGGTTACATGAATGCAGAAAGCAGAAACATGAAGAGTGTTGTACATGAATTACAGTTTCAACAAACAACTACTATGACACTAACTCTTCACAAACGTGAGGCGGCTTCACCAGCAATGGTTCCTTTTCTCTGTAAGATCAAAGACAAAACCTCAGACTGTCAGGAGAGTTGCTTCATGGTTGAACATTATGTGCAAATGGAATGGATAAAAGATGAAAAGATGATAAAAGGGAATGACAGTAACCTTATCTGTCCTTGTTAGTTCTCAGGTCTGTGGTAACTGGGTCGTGTTGGATTGTCTGGTGCAGCATGAGGGCCATGAGACCTGCACGATTCGTCATGGCTGTTTTTAGATTGCGCTCCTGCTCAAACAATTCATCCAACTTGTACCACTAGGGAAGGAGAAGACATAATGGGAATGACTGAAGAAATGAAAGATTAAATATAAGATTGATGAATGAAAACGCACTCCTGTGGGAAAACTGTCTTGAAAGCAAGAACATCTTAATCACTTTGAGTTTACAATTACACAGCTATTTTCTTTGATCCAAATAAATAAATTCTTTCCTTCAAATAAACGATTCTTTTGCAAATGCACTGACCACTCGGACTCGTTCCAGGTCCACTTCGGCCCTGCGGAGCTTCTCCCAGCAGTAGTGTTTGTTACACTTGCGTTTGGACACCCTGCAATATTCTCCGGTGGGTTCAAATACATCACGAACTAATGGACACCCACAGACCTCATCCGCAGGGACCTGCATGCATACATGTACAGTTCCGATTAATGTTCTTAATATCTATGCAGATTGGGCGTTTATGTATCAAATGCACGCGGTAAAGTACCTTTGGGTCTCTGGAGTGTTCTGGACAGAGAACCTGCAGTCTCTTACAGTAGGTTTTGCTTTGTGGATTGTAAACATCACAGAAGAGCCGTGTAGCACTATATTTTTCCAAGAAGAAAAACAGCCGAAATAATGAGACTTCAAGATTGCGCGCAAATATATTATTTGCTTTTGTCAAAGGCATTAAAGGTGCACTCAGTACTTTTTCCCGCATTTTACAAAGAAATGAACAGTACTCTTGAAAAAATGCACACTAACATTGCATGATATAGGCATATAATCAATAAATATAAAAAATATATCAAAGATTTATTTTACATGAAGCAGTTTATATACATATATATATGCGTGTGTGTGTGTACACAAACATTTATAATGTTACTAAATACTTTTATTTCAAATAAATGCTGTTCTTTTTAACTTTCTATTAATCAAAGAATTCTGAAAAAGATGTATCATGGTTTTGCAGTCTCTTACAGTAGGTTTTGCTTTGTGGATTGTAAACATCACAGAAGAGCCGTGTAGCACTATATTTTTCCAAGAAGAAAAACAGCCGAAATAATGAGACTTCAAGATTGCGCGCAAATATATTATTTGCTTTTGTCAAAGGCATTAAAGGTGCACTCAGTACTTTTTCCCGCATTTTACAAAGAAATGAACAGTACTCTTGAAAAAATGCACACTAACATTGCATGATATAGGCATATAATCAATAAATATAAAAAATATATCAAAGATTTATTTTACATGAAGCAGTTTATATACATATATATATGCGTGTGTGTGTGTACACAAACATTTATAATGTTACTAAATACTTTTATTTCAAATAAATGCTGTTCTTTTTAACTTTCTATTAATCAAAGAATTCTGAAAAAGATGTATCATGGTTTTCACAAAACTATTAAGCAGCACAACTGATTTCAACATTGATAATAATAAGAATTTTTTCTTGAGCAGAAAATCAGCATATTAGAATGATTTCTGAAAGATCATGTGACACTGAAGACTAGAGTAATGTTGCTGAAAATTCAGCTTTGTATTACAGGAATAAATGACATTTCAAAATATATTCAAATAGAACAATTTTTTTTTTAAATGTAACAATTATTTCACAATATTACTGTTTTTACTGTATTTTTGATCAAATAAATGCAGCCTTGTTCAGCGGAAGAGACTTTCAAAAACATTAAAGGGGTCATGAACTGAGAAATCAAAATTCCCTTGATCTTTTGACATATAAGAGGTCATCGTACTATAAAAACATCCTGTAAGTTTCAGAACTCAAAACTTTCTCATTAGTCTAAAAACAGCTTATATTGAAGCTAATCTGCCAAAACGGCAGATTGTGGAATGTGCCAGTTTATGACGTAATAGAGTGGGTAAACCCCGCCTCCGCAGAAGATCATCAACGCCTGCTTCTACATCACTGCCTGTTTAGCTCCACCCACTGATTCGTGCACATAGTGTAAATAACGAGAGAGACGAATGCAGGTCTACACAGAAACCAAACGATAAAGATGCTCCGAAGACAACAAGATGCTGTGCAGTGCCAAACTGTAGACCAACACAGTCTTTGCATTGCCTTCCATCGGATCCCAACATTTAGGAAAGAGTGGATTAGCTTTATTTTTAATGAAGTTCCAGACCGTGTCAGACTAAAGGTTGGTCATTTGTTCACCTCATTTCACCGTAGATTCGTTTGCAAACAAGGCACAATTCGACGCCGGAGTGGGTGTTTACTTCTGAGTCTACAATCCGCCACACCTATTCAAACGGAGCGTTGTGATTCAAAACAGGACACAAAATAGCCTATTACTGCTCAAATATTATGTTTTTTGATGTAAAAATCTTGATAACATAAGTGGACTTCAGAGAACAATACAAAATAATATAAAAGGCAGTTCATGACCCCTTTAAAAAAATACCAACTTATATCACAGTGGAAGCATCTTAATTTAAAAATATGTACTATTAATATATATATTTATATAAAATTGTACTTACCCCTCTATGCGAGTGGGGTACATGGAGCCAAAAGACGTCTGACTCTCATACTGGTTAGAAGGAAAAGATGAAACATGAACATCACACAAACAGCATTTTAAAAACATAACACTAAAACATGTGACAATGTTTGTAGGTCTACGCATCACAATTTGTAAAAACAGAGACCTTAACAAAACTTTTACAAAGTCTTGATTTTGTTTTGGGGGTGTACTAGAACAGGCTCTCATACTAGGTTGTTCGAAAAACACATTATTTTTCACATATTTTACATTATTACAACACCTCTCTCCCAAGTCTGGCATGAACGGCTGGAATAGTTCCTGTATCAAATGAAGGCCCGCCTTCTGAAAGACGAAATGTGCTGTGATATCTTTTTTATGCTCAAACAGCAACATTACAGACTAACTAAAGTTGAAAAAGTGAAAAAGCATAATAGGACCCCTTTAAATACAACACACCTTGGTGTAGCACCTTTCCATGTGACGCAGTGCCACCTTGGGGTTAACTGGGTGACTGCAGGACACACAGAAGATTTGCAAATCTGTGTCGTCATCACCCTCATTGACCTTCGGGGAAAAGAAAAGCAATGTTCAGGGCACTGTTATGTGGTCTGAAAGATCATGTAACACTGAAGACTGGAGTAATGGCTGCGGAAAATTCTGCTTTGCATCACAGGAATAAATTACATTTTCTTTAATTGCATTTTATTCATTTAAAATATAAGATGAAACAATTATACTGTAACGTATTTACAGTGTTTTTAAAGCAACAGAATGCTGAAACTATGTTTATGACGGCTTTCACCTCTTCATCGTGCTGCACAACCTGCTGTTTGGCTTTAGCAATGATGCCCTCCAGCTCGTGGAACCGTTTCTCCATATCAGTGAGTCGCGTGCGAGCTGACTGTTGCTCACGGCGGATTCGATCTAGAAGTTTCTTGCCCTGTTCTTCAGCAATGCACGGGCTCTGCTGCCACTGCTGGATACGCTGGGGCAGGATCTCATAGATTCGACTGGCAAGACAA